TGAATTGTTGTGAGAGAGAAAACACTGTTCCGATTGAAAAAAGAAGCCAAAGGCCTCGGTCAGTTACCTCAGGCTCTCTTTTTTTAAAATATTGGAACCAGATTCCAGCCACTACACCCTCAGAAGAGTATAGGAAGCCTTACATTGCAACACCGAGCACTGAGGCTCACAGACCATCCAAGACACAAGAAGATAAACATTAATAGGATAGGTACCACTGCAAGGTGTTTTATCTTAAGTTAAACGTCTTCGAATTTAACAAGATTTATTCAAAATGTAGTAACGAGTTTGATCCAAAAAAATGCTATAGAAAATGTATTAAATTATGGATATGATGTCTTGCAACTAATTTACTGCTATAATTGTTGATACAATTTTTTTAACTTTTGGTCAAATTTTAAGGAAAAAAAAAGATGACTTAGGATTCACTGTTCCAAATCAAGGTCGTCCCGTCATTCTGTGGGCTCGCCTACTGATTACTGAACACGTTGTGTCGAGTGTCGTACCTGTCAGAATCTACCAACAGTGCACTAGCAACAAAATCAGAGCTGCGATCGACATGCTGACGCTGTAGCTTTCACCACCGTTGTAACTTGTACCAAGTTTTTACCGGTCCGCCTACCAACCAGCAGGTATTTTTTACCGGTACCGTATGTACGTACGGCAAATAATGCATGCATGCACTGCCATGACGACGACGCAGGCGGCACGCGGTGGCTGGGGTCGGCGCGGCGGTGCGTGGCGGACGCGGCGTGCGTGGCGCAGCTGCGCGCGTGCGGCGCCGTGATGGCCGGCAAGGCCAACATGCACGAGCTCGGCGCTGGCACCAGCGGCATCAACCCGCACCACGGCTCCACGCGCAACCCCTACAACGTCGGCAGGGTCTCCGGCGGCTCCTCGGGCGGGTCCGCCGCCGCAGTCTGCGCTGGGCTCTGCCCCGTCGCCCTCGGCGCCGACGGAGGCGGTAATAAAAGGAGCACGCGTGCTTCTTTTTCTTTCATTCAGTTGTGGCCGCAGATCATCACTGTAATAAGTCACTGACGATGGCGTGGCGTTTTGGGCGCTGTTCCTGCAGGGTCCGTGCGCATGCCGGCGGCGCTCTGTGGCGTCGTCGGGTTCAAGCCGACCGCCGGCCGGCTCTCCAACTCCGGGTGCGCCACCTTCGTACATAAATGAACGCAGAACACAATCCTAGCTTGTGATGCTAATGGCCATGCACACTGTTAACTGACACGATTAATGTTTCAGGCTTCTTCCCCTGAACTGGACGGTCGGCATGCCGGGGATCCTAGCAGCAACGGTCGAGGACACGCTCATCGCGTCAGTGCCGGCCACCTTCTCATTTTTTCTTCCATAAACCAAATCTGATCCATTTGTATTTCCTTGTACATGTGTGTGTGTGTGTGTGTGTGTGTGTTCATCCATGGGCAGGCAAATGATGTCTTTGTTTGTTTCTGTACTTTGTTTCAGTTATGCGGCCATTGCTGATCAGTCAAAACCAAGCCCTTTGCAGGTGACAGAAAGCAGGATCCCGGCCCATTTCATTTTGTTCCATGTTCTGCTTCCACACATTTCAGCGACTACTAGCTCAGTGTTCAGTAAAGATTGACTGATCGACTTGTTGATGATCTGCTCTGTAGCAGCCTGAACTGAACCTGCCCATGCTGACATGCACGAGGTCCATGCCTAACATCAGGCTCGCCAAATACGCAAAGGTCAGTCGGCCGGTCTCTGAACTTTGGTCACCAATGTCTGAAATTTATGCCTGAACATCGCGCTGACATTAATTTGCGACCAAAAAAAAACAGTGGTTCGACGATAGTTCAGAGGACATCAGGAGCCTCTGCGGGAAGGCTCTGCAGATGCTGCGCACGCACTACGGTTGGGAGGTAAGGCGCAGTTTAGCATCTGAATTCTGAAGAACATTACATGGCTGCAGTTCTTCCATTCTGAAAAAGAAATGCTACGTGCTACAAACTCTTTCCGTTTTGGCTGCAAAGAGTGTGGACGTCACAGTCCCGGAGATCGAAGAGATGCGGCTGGCGCACTACGTGACCATGGGCTCAGAGTGCACTGCCTCCCTCGCAAAGTATCTCGACAACATGTAAGCAGCTCAGTTAGCTGTTGGCCGGGTCAGTTCGTTCCTGATACGCCATTCAAATCCATGGCCTGATGCAGCAACGAACTGAACTTTGTACGGCAGGGACAGGTCTGAGATCGGGTGGGACGTCAGGATCGCGCTCAGCGCCTACGGATCCTTCAGCAGCAGAGATTACCTCAACTCGCAGCGCCTCCGGTAGGCCGCCACGCATCAAATGAACAATGCCATTATTAATCTGAAAAATCTCTGAATCCTGATGCTGCAAAAACGGGAACGCCTGTAGATGCCGTCAGATGTACTTCCACGAGAAGATCTTCGAGACAGCCGACGCCATCGTCACGCCGATGACAGGGTATGCTATGCATACGCGACTCCATCCTAATCCTTGCTCCACTCCATGGCATGCATGACATGGCTGCTGCTGCTGCTTCACTTGCTGTGTATGTAGGGTGACGGCGTACGCACTGCAGGACGACGCGTTGAGCACCGGGGAGCTGGACTACATCAACGGAGGTAAATGTGATGCGACGATGGTTGATCAAGGAGAAGTGATTCAGTGCATCTCTGACAGCTAAAAACAACTTGCAGCTGCTCTGGTGCGGTACTCGATCGCGGGGAACTTCCTGGGGCTGCCGGCGATCACCGTGCCGGTTGGGTACGACAGGGGAGGGCTCCCCGTGGGGCTCCAGTTCATCGGCCGCCCGTGGTCGGAGGCCATGCTGCTGCACCTCGCCTACGCCATGCAGGAGGCGTGCGGCAAGGAGCACCGGAAGAAGCCCAAGGTGCACTACGACCTCCTCAGGAATCAGTAGCTCCGGCGGTCCGGCCTCGAGCAAAATGGTGGCCGTGGAGTGTCAGGAGGCGATTCATTACAGCTATAGGGTGATTGATTGATTGATTGTGCTCGTGATCATCAAATTTATCAGAGGGAAAATAAAATGGTTGCAATTGTGCGCACCGTTCATGTCATGTCTACACGCTACAGTCATTCTTGTGAAACTTTATCCATGTGCAATTGCCCGTGCGCCATTATATTCTCCAAAGTTCATCGAGCATTTGTATTCCGCCATAGTGTTGCTCTTCAAACCTGTCACGTCTATCGATACCTGCTGTGCTTATCTTTTCAATCAAGAAACCTTTGTTTAAAAACAAAGTTCAGCTAGATGGTAGGCATACGAATTAAAAAAGAGAGAGAAAAGAAAAATGGACCCGGCATGCTAATTAGCATTTAGCAACACAATATCGCAAACTTAGCGTGCATACAGTTCAAAATCATCTATCAACCAACGTTACAATTTCCAACTGTGCAGAAAACTAGCTTGACGCATTTGTTCCAGCTCTAATTAATGTACTGCGAAGCGAGATGATCAAAATTCACAAATTCTATCATCCTCTTTGCAAAAGATGGTGGTTGAGTAGTGCATATAAAGCATCTCAGTTCTGTATCAAACACTGTTCTTTCTATAAAAGCCGGGTATACCCCTCTGTCAAAAAAAAATTAAAGCATCTCAAAGGCAGTATTGGAAGTCTGAACGCACCTAGGTCCTATATATTGTGGAGATTACAGTGTTTTGGTGATTGATGCACACAAGTAGCTACTAACGTGTGCTTTGCACGGAATAATGCAATAGAGTTAGTCACATTGCGAATGGTCGCAAGTGACTGGCCCCAAGACTTGGTGATCGATTAAGGAGATATCTTTTATTAAATGTCATTCACATTATACTCCTTTTATTAATTTATGCTTCCTGGAATGTGTTACTGGATTGTGTTATTCAAGCATCTTTTTATTAAATTTTATACACATGATATGAATCCATTTATGCTTGCCGGTACACATTAGTTAAGTATTATTTTATTAAATTACATCCATATTAAATCAACCAAAACTAAATCACAAATAAGATTTTTGACATCAGCAAGCATCTTACTTATGATTTTAGTTTTTATTTATATGATGTATATCAATTTTAGTAAAAGGATACTTAAATACACACGTGCCAGCAAGTATTGATGTACTATATAATGAAGATACAATTTAATAAAAGGATGTTAAAATGAAGAGTACAATGAGCATAAGTTAACTTATATAATTTGGATGAAATTTAAATATATTTTTTCACCAAAATGCCACAACTAAGCACAGAAATAGGGCCCAAATAAGGCATAATTGCATACACCAAACAATGTCATACAGGGCATGAGTGCATTTTCTTACATCAGGGGTACTTTGGTCATTTCGTATGTAAGTTAACGATGTTAGCCTTCAAAACTAACGGTAGTGTCGTATAGGAAATGGAATTCGAAGACAGTGTCGGATAGAGTTTTCAAAGCCATGGGAGGAATATGTGAGTTTGACGGTGTATAATACAAGGAATTTTCTCGATTTAATTTGGCACTGGAGCATGTACGGGGCTACAGCCCATGATGCAAACTAAGGCCTGCCTGCTGGTAGCCCATGATGCAATGTGCAATAATAAAGCCCATTATGTTTTCCTGCTCATATTCCATGCATTTTCTTGCTAATAATGTGAGGTAGCCATACACGGGAATGACGTGCTATGCTAGGTGGGAATAGAGCGGAGGCGTGAGGCGATGCAGCCACCTGCTCGGCGGATGCCGATTTTGCTTTTGCGACGATAAAGGCTACTAGCTTAGTCTTTACGTGACGTCACAGCGTTCGTAACACTTCCATTTGTAGCACGTAGTCACTAGCAGTACCACTAACGTGGCAGCTGGAACAGCAGCGGGTGGGGTCCCGAGCTTGACACCGGAGCACGCCGTGCGACGACTGGCCATCTCGATCAGATGAAGCCCTGGCCCCTGGGTGCTATAAATTCTGTTGCACGACGGGCTCAGGAGAGAAACCGGCACCAGCAGACCAGCTAGCTACAAGATCATGGCCGCGGCGGGCAACGACGACGCGGCCACCATCAGCTCCGAGGCCGCCGCCGGGAGGAGGTGGTCTCTGCGCGGCATGACGGCCCTCGTCACCGGCGGCACCCGCGGCATCGGGTACGTACGTAGTATAACACAAGTGGCGCATGCCAGTTCTCTGTAAGTGTAACTGACTCGTACGCGTGCATCCATGTGCTCGATCAGGCGTGCCGTGGTGGAGGAGCTGGCGGCGCTGGGCGCGGCGGTGCACACGTGCTCCCGGAACGAGGCGGAGCTGCGCGACTGCCTGGCCGAGTGGGAGGCCACGACCGCCAAGACCGGCGGCGGCGGCGTCACGGGGTCCGTCTGCGACGTGTCGGCGCGCGACCAGCGGGAGCGTCTGCTGCGCGACGCGGCGGAGCGGTTCGGCGGCAAGCTCAACATCCTGGTGAACAACGTGGGCACCAACTTCAGCAAGCCCACGGCGGAGTACACCGCCGAGGACTATGCTTTCCTGATGGCCACCAACCTGGAGTCCGCCTACCACCTCTGCCAGCTCGCCTACCCGCTGCTGCGGGCGGCCTCCGGCGGCAACGCCAGCGTGGTGCTCGTCTCCTCCGTGTGCGGCGCCGTGGCCGTGTGCACGGGCTCCGTCTACGCCATGGCGAAGGCCGGCATGAACCAGCTGGCACGGAACCTGGCGTGCGAGTGGGCCACGGACGGCATCCGGGCCAACTCCGTCGCGCCGTGGTACACCAGGACGCCGCTCGTGGAAGGGGACCTGTCGCGGGGGGAGTACGTGGAGGAGATCCTGCGGCGGACGCCGCAGAGGCGCGTCGGGGAGCCCCAGGAGATCTCGTCGCTGGTGGCGTTCCTCTGCATGCCCTGCGCGTCGTATATCACCGGCCAGACCATCGCCGTCGACGGCGGCATGACCGTCAACGGCCTCTACTACCCAGCTCATCAGGACTAAGCTACAATGAAGAAACCAGCGACGCGTCAAGGAATAGCTTGATGAAGAATAAAGTAGTTATTAGTAGCTATATTATTGTCGGTATTTACATCATAGATCTTCTTTACGTAAGAAAGACACTTGAAGAATGCGTTTTGCTACGCATATATGGGCTGTTCTCGATTATGTCTGGTGCACTGCAATTTTTGTATTAATAATTCATTATAACTGTGTTTGCAGTTCTCGCAAACGAAATGATCTGTTCTAGATTAGTAAAACTATGAGTGTGTTTGGTTGTCATGCTTACCCCTTGTTCAGGCTCAGCTTGGACCTATTTGGTTGCCTATAAAGGCTCATATCCGCGAGTCGCCGCAGCGTCCGGCCGGCATCTGCCTACGTTCGTTTGGTTTGCTCACTCCTACATTTGATCTTTCATATTGTTGATCTTGTGCTTAGTAGCTTGACGAGTTGCATATCATAATTCGATTAGCTATTCTTGTGTAGCTCGACTAGTTGTAATTGTCGGCTTCTAGTAGCTTGTGTGCTATAGCCTCTAGTTCTTCTTGTTATTAGAATTGCTCTTGGGTGATAGGCTAGGCTTGTAGCGGCTATTAGGGTCACCGCTTTTACTAACCTCTTTGTCTAGCTTAATTGTTCTTGAAGGTTATTAAATATGCTATTCACCCTCCTCTAACCATCCCACGTCCTTAAGGCGTCTGCAACAAGGCGAGCAAAATCGCCAGAAAGAGTTGGATGAGATAGAAGCCAAAGAAATATATTTTACTCATGCTCTAGCTTTCAGCTGGCCCCACTCGCTAATGTCACAAATCCTCGGGCAACGAGAAATCATCGGGCGATTTGTTCGTCGCTAGTGAAGAGTCTCTCCTCTTTCTGCCTTGCACGTAGGATGAAAGATGGCGACTTCGCCGTCCTTGCGGACCTCCCTTAGGATATGGTTGACACCACACTAAGAGAAGCTATAGAGTAGGCCATGCCCTGCATAATAACAGTAATGTGTTGGGACTGGGCAAAACATTTGCCACACCCTATCCTAGAGCAGTACAGTGCTACCTACCCTAATGTCCCATCGAATCTAATTGAAGCATAGAAGTCCACCGAAGTACACATGACATCTCAAGAGTACTTAGCCAATTGAATATAAGATTTTGCACCGTAGAACAATAGTACCACTAACTACCATTGCATGTAACCCACCTCTAGCTATGTAAGGCATGGTGGTAGAGATAACAATAGGGACCCATATCACGGGGATGGGGGTAGATTTATCCCTACAGAGGACTAAAAGGGGAAGAAACCTCCGCCATCGGGTCTAGCAGGGGCGGGTATGGTTGTGTAATCCTCGTCCCCGTTTCCCTGCATCACCGTTCACACAACCACTCACAAGGATCACAAGTCACAACCTGCCTATTCATCCACGGTCCATGAAAGATCAACCAAAAAGCCATGTATAAATAAAAGAATGCAAAACCTAACCAGCCGAAGTATTTCCTTCCTTTCCCATCCCCAATCTCACCCGCTCCTGCCAAGATAGCCGAACAGCCGAGGCACATGCTGCACTCCTGCAGTCCTCCACGCGACGCGTCGCGCTCACTCTCGCATCCGTGCACCTGCTCCGAGCCACACATCGCACTTCCTCTTGCAAGCCACAGCCCCACAATGTACTCCGCACACTTTTTGCTGCAATATTTTCTGTTTTGGTTCTACGAGAGATCCTCAAAATAACTAATGATAAATTTGTCTAGTGTGCCCATAAAATGCGTTTCTTTTTCTAGCATTATACCAAAAGACTTGATCTACTATAATTATATATTCCGTATTGCATAAATTGTGTTTAATTTATGCCATGTAACTATATGCACTATCCATCGCAAAGTAGAAGATACTATACTAACCTCCGCTTCCAAATACTTGGCACTCACTTTATTTGTTTCAAAAATAAATGTTTCCCTGAAATCTACTTTCATATTTGATCTTAATAACTACTTATATAGATGTTGTAGAATTATTAACATATCTTTATAGCACATTTTAGTCATTTTTCATTCTAGATAGAAAAAATCACATCCCTCCGTTTTCTCGTCACTTGGCATAATTTTTTTACTGTTTGTGCATTTTTCTAACAAAAATTTGTAATTTGTCATTGAACATATTAACACTTTTGTCGGTGTTGTACACTTTGAAGTATCTAAAAAATTGATTATAGAAAAAAACGAACGATCAAAGTTAGCTCCATTGGAATTTAGAAGTTGGGTGACAAGTGCACAAGAACAAAGGGAATTAGATAGATGCACCTCATTAAACGTATTTAGCCAAAAAAAAAACTTGTAAGAAAGGATTTTGAAACAGGGGCTTAGTAATCGTGAAATCTCAAATCTGTACGGTTGCAAAAATCTTGAGGCATCGTGTACGATGTGCCACGTAAGATGGGAGATAGATGGACACTATCGATCCCATCGTGGCGTGCCTGGCCCACGGCTCTACCAATCCAGAACGGACACGTCCAAGTATGGTACCCCAGGGGCAAAACTGTAAAAGAGCACGGTGGGCCCTAGCCGGTCTCGCGTCTGGAGGAGGGGAGTCGCAACAAAAGAAACCAAACTCGGCTCGAGAGAGATCGCATCTGCCTCTGCCTGACCACCTTCCCTTCCCTTCCTCCCTCCTCGCCCCAGCGACGCGGCCGCGCGGAGACCGAGCAAGGCAACGAACCCACCACAGAGGCAGGGAGAGGAGGAGCAGGAAGCCGGAGACGAAGATGTCGTCGGTGTTCAGCGGCGATGAGACGGCCCCGTTCTTCGGCTTCCTCGGCGCCGCCGCCGCCCTCGTCTTCTCATGTTCGTTCCCCCTGCCCCCATCCCCCTCTCCCACTCGCGCGCTCAAGCGATTCTGTACCCAAAGCTCTAGTTTCTTCGAATAAAGTTTGGATTTTCACCGTCCATTGCCCGATCTGTCGCCGGGGCTCCGTGGCTCGGCTCGATCTGGCCGAGCCCCAGCCTCCGGTGAGCTCGATTCCGGGCGCGCCGGTGCTGGATCTGCCCGATTCGGTCCCGATCGGGTGTGGGGTTTCAGAAATCGACGGGCTTTTTCGGTCGGGCAGCGGGGCAGGCAGGTGCTGACTAGGCTGTTCTTTTCTGCTTTATTGATCCGGCGCAGGCATGGGCGCGGCGTACGGGACGGCGAAGAGCGGCGTCGGCGTGGCGTCGATGGGCGTGATGCGGCCGGAGCTCGTCATGAAGTCCATCGTGCCCGTCGTCATGGCTGGTGTGCTCGGTATCTACGGGCTCATCATCGCCGTCATCATCAGCACAGGGATCAACCCCAAGGCCAAGCCATACTACCTGTTCGATGGCTACGCCCACCTCTCGTCCGGGCTTGCCTGTGGCCTTGCTGGGCTTGCAGCTGGCATGGCCATCGGCATTGTCGGTGATGCTGGAGTCAGGTAAAAAGCTCTCTGTAGTGAACATCAATCCTAGATTTATGTCTTTTGTTACTGTCTGCTATTAAATATTCCATGTCAAGAATGTTAATATTGTGTTATTGAGTGCTACAAGGTTAATAACATTAATAATGTGATAATAACCTAAATCCATGTAATATAGGTAGTTAATAGCATTCAAATTCTTGCTCATTATTAATCTAATGCCTTTTGTCATGTTGGTCTTGCACATGAATTTTTCTTCTGGGGACGAAAAGCATTTGAAAAATGAAATGTCTAAAATGATGCCTATTTTACAGTTAATAAGTATTCTTTCTGACTTGGAACTATTTCCTGTCAGTTTAATGATGGCATATATGTACTCTGCGTTTTACCCCTGTTTTGTTTCTGCACTTTCTGAAACATTTTCCTTCAACTGATAAAATAGTTTTGATTAGAAAACATGTAGGTTTTAGTTTCCTCCGTATCTTTAAGCTCAACTTAGATAATAGTTGTGTGGTGAGAGAACTGCAGATTACATATCTTTTAGAGTTAACTGTATTGTTATTGTACTTCATGTCTTCATTCATTTTCACTGAAGTATGACCCACCTAAGTTCTGCTGTTTCATGAACACGAACATACTCTTGGGTGACTAGCCAAATTGATATATGCCTATTTATATATGCTTAAAGACTGTTATGATCAACATAAGCTCCTTTTTTTCTGTAGCTCCAGATGAGATCGATAATCCACATCTTTTTGAATATTTCATAGAGAAGTTTGAAAATGCAATTATTATTTGTTTAGGTTCTTTGTTAGGTTAGAATGTCTTAACGAGCTCTTTCTGTCACTACTACTTGGTTGATAAGTTTCAGTCAGTGGCATATGTAACTTTCACCTGGCATTTCTTCTTTTATGGAGGCAGTATATGCTTATTTGGGAGTTGAAATTTCATTTTGACTTATTTTCTGTTCCACCGATTTCAGGGCAAATGCACAACAGCCAAAGCTTTTCGTGGGCATGATCCTCATCCTCATTTTCGCAGAAGCGCTTGCTCTCTACGGTCTCATTGTTGGAATTATCCTTTCATCCCGTGCTGGCCAATCCCGGGCGGATTAAGCGCACTACCATTCTGCGACTACCGCACTGTTTATTATGCTATTCTGAGAGAATTGAAACTCTATGCCCTTGTCTAGTTTATTCTTGTTACCATGTATTAATGAAACAATCAGTAGCTGAAGGAAGGTGACACTTCCTGTCATGTTGGTTTTGGTGGTGTCAATTTTTTGGGTTAAGGTTGGATGGATGCTCCTGGGCTAAGTGGATTTAATTTTATCCTTGGTGAATAAAGAACACGGAATTGTAGCCAAATAATAACGTGATATATATATATTTCTTTGCCCCTTTACTGGATCACTGGATTTTCTGTCATCTATCTATACTTAGCATGTTCACCGCGATAGTTGATGGTTTGTTTCTGATGCTTTTGAGTCATTGGTTGATAGGTTGTATGAAGTACAGAATCACCTCTAAATATACTGAATTCATGCTGCTAGAGATTCCTGCCCCTTCCAATTCTGGATTTC